GTATGGAGATCTCACGAGACAGGTTTTTGGCAAACTTTGGTTATCCCAAGAGAATTATATTCTCAAGGTATTCAAAAGGTTCAACATGGATGAAGCACGATCAGTTTTTACTCCTTTAGTCGGTCACTTCAAATTATCCTCAGAGGAGTGTCCACAAACAGTTAAGGAGCAGGAAAAGATGTCTCGGATATCATATGCGAGTGTGGTGGGATCGCTGATGTATGCTATGGTTTGCACTAGGTCTGACTTAGCCTATGCAGTAAGTTCAATAAGTCGATTCATGTCAAATCCAAAAAATCTGCATTGGGAGACGGTGAAGTGGATTTTGCATTATCTAAGAGGGACTACAATTGTGGGCTTATTTAGTCTTTAGAGGATAAGGGGTCCAAGAAACTACAGCGATACGTCGATGCAGATTACGCAGACGACCTTGATCAGTGGAGGTCAACGACGAGGTATTTATTCACAGTTTCTAATTGTCCCATTAGTTGGAAGGTTGAGTTATAGGAAACTGTGGCCTTTTCGACGACTGAGGCGGAGTACATAGCTACAGTGGAGGCATCGAAGGAAGCTCTATGGTTACGGGGCTTGGTTAGAATGTTTGACATCATGCAGGATTCAGTACCTATTTATTGTGACAGTCAAAATGTGATTCATCTTACGAAGGATCAGAGGTATCACAAGCGGACGAAGCACATTGACATCAGGTATCACAAGATTCGAGAGTGGATTAACAAGGAAAAAGTGATCGAATTGGTGAAGATTAGTACAAAGAAGAATCTGGCGGATATGATAACAAAGATCATTCCAGTGGAGAAGTTCAAAGCATCTTTGGACTTCATCCACATTCTTTAGAAGTAACTTTGGAGAAATATTCCTGGGAGGGAGTTGTGTAAAGTGGGGGGTTGATTTTGGAAAATCTTTACGAAGGATTAATTCAACATGATGTCAGTCAATGTGGAGATTGTTCAGTTCGTGATGACTCAAATCAGTCGAGAAGCAGGATTGGGTTTGGACTCTAATTAGGATTAGGTATACTATCCTAATAAGGATTGGATTGAAGGAATTAATTGAATTCGGAAATTAGGATCAAGTTAAAATTTTAATAGGATTGAGCAAAATCAATTTCTATATATATTGTATCAATCCATGGGTTTGAAAACAAGAAAGAAAGAAAAAGATCTATATTCCATCATTGTTAGGGGTGTGTAGTTTCAACCTCTTGTAATCTCTTCTCAAAAGAAATAAGATCTTCCCCCTTTCTCCACGTGGATGTACACGGATCATCTTGATCACGTGGAACCACGTTAATTCTTATTGTTTGCTGTTCGTCTTGATTGCTTGGTAGGTTTGGGGTTTCTTGATTGTTTAAGTTTTATCTTCCGCGGCTTGAATATTCCAACACATTTAGACCTCTGACATTCTATGAGCTAAATTTCATTACAAAACATGTAAAACACATCACACTACAAAGCATAAACTTCAGGGACTTAGCAAGCCCCCTTATTTGCTATACCAACCTCTTTAGCTTTCAGTTTCTCAATGTCAAACTCAACAAGAGGATTTTTAAGACAACAATTAACAGTAATGTTACCTAAGGTTTCTTTGTTTAAGGAATTCAAATGCACATCATATGAGGAAGATGAAGAGAATGGTGGTTTGGAAGTACCTTTCTTGGGGCTGCACTGAGTTTTCCCTGAAGAATCAATATGTTAGAGATAGCTCCCATGCTTGTGACTAAAGATGGCCTTTCGAGAAGATCTTTTCTAGAGCTGAGAAGATTTCTTAGTGAAGGCAAGTGGACCTGAAAGAGAAGACGAGTGAGCAGGTGCATGATTAGAGCTTCCTTCTTTGTCTAGTAGCAAGAAAAGAGGAGATGAACTCTCAAACTTATTCTGTTCCAATCACATGCATTTGTATTCAGCCCATGTGCCTTTTTCAATTAAAGTCTTCATACCATTCCATTTTTTGGTAACAGCCTCAAACGGAATATCAGAAACAGAAAGATTTGAATCTGAATTTGTAGAATCAATTTTGGCCCCCGATTATCTCCTAAAAATCCTCTCCTGTTTTTTCTTTGGCTGTGCAGAGTGACCTCTTCAAATTCATATTCATAACTTTCTCAATTACATATTTGCCCTTCCTTTTAGCAAACTTTACTGGATCGACCTTTGTCACCCTCCTCCGACTCTGCTTGCTTTCCATTCACCAGGTGTGGATGTTGCTCACTATAAGAGGTTCCAATCACCACATCTCCTTGAATCTTTAGACCTTTCGGTTGATCATCAAATGAATATTGACCAACATCAATTAGCTTGATACCGAGCATAACCTCGATCCCTAGTAAACTCATATGTTTGAGACTTGTAAGAGTAGATAATGGTCTTTGGAATATCAGCTCGAGATTTGACCCTCACCAACGCTCTAACGTTCAAACCATTAAGCTTATCCTTAATGTTTTTACATGCTGAGACAAATTCACCAAAAAATTCCACAATCACAGCTATTGTTTCAAAGGTAATAAGAAGAATTAACAATCTTCTTCCCAATGTTTTCTGTCCATTGTCCGAAGGTCGCAGAGAACTTCTCATAATTAATCACTCCACCATTGATGGCATCAGAAAGTTGAAGAATAGTTGGAAAAAAAATTCAACAAGAAAAATGATTTTATCAATGGGGACAACTTTTCCCTTCTACCCCATCCAATTAAATTTTCATGATAGCCTTGCCTTCATGAGATCAACTGATGGTGCACCCTCTGACAAAGAGTTGGAAGGGAAATGGTGTTTAGGGAAACGTTGATCATGCATCTTTCTCTACTTTTTCTTGTATGTAACCATCGTCCAACCTTGGTTCTGATCCAAGCCATCTCCTTTCTTATCTATCCCAAATTGGGCAAATTTTTAAAACAGACCCCTTTGCAAAAAAATTCCCAAAAAGACCTGTTTTAAAAATATTCGCAAAAAACGACTCAGTTTCAGCCTCGTTTTTTGCGAAAAATGTTCCCAAACTTCACGGGAGTTGAACTCCCGTGAAGTTTTTTTCAAAATAAAACTTCACGGGAGTTGAAGTCCCGTGAAGTTTTGTTATGAAAAAACTTCACGGGAGTTGAACTCCCGTGAAGTTTGGGAACATTTTTCCCAAAAACCGACCCAGTTTCAGCATTGTGGCTAAAACTAGATCGTTTTTTAAATATAAAGTGGAAACAGGTCTTTTTTTTTGGGAATAAATTTGCAAAGGGGTCTGTTTTCAAAAATTGTCCATCCGAAATTCCTTTTTGGAATGAAGCGAAAGACGAGAAATGAGGGGATATGGTACATGATTTTTTGTCGAAAGGGTGCTGTATATGTTCGGTGAAGAGGGAAGAGAACGATTGGGGAACGGATACACTTCAAAAGCATGCTTAGACCATCTCCAGCAGGAGGTGAAATTTCACCTCCTTCTCTCCTGCCACATCACTTTATTTAATTCAATAATCTTCATTTCCCTATCAACTCTACAGCAGGAGATTTTTCAGAAAGTTTTTTACTTTATTTGGGACCCACCATAAACCACTTCACTTCAACATATACCCCACCATATTTATTCATTCTTTTTCCTATTTCATATATATTACTATTTTGATCCATGAAGAAACTAGCTTCAAATTGTAGAAAGAAGAAGAATAGGGTGTAGAAACTCAGATTTTTTTTATGTCCTAATGACACAAAGTTAGTCTCTATTTATAGAGTTTGAAAAATGAAAATTAATGGTATAAAAATTATAAATTAATTCATTGTATTTATCTCAAAAAATATCAAATAAAAATAAGGAGGAAAAAAATAAAGCTTGCCCAATAGAAATTCGCCACGTGTCCGCTTGCATCAAGGCGCGCGCGTGGGCTTGTCAGATTCATCCGGGGTGAAATTTTCACCCTCTCTCCGATCTCATTTATTTCACCCCACAAAAAATCCCCAGCTGCCTTCAAATACCCCACAAAAAAATCCCCTGCTGCATATGGTATTAGGGATAGGAAAAGAGTTGGAAGGGAAATTTGGTTTAAGATCTTGAAAGATCTTATTGATGATGAACTTCTTGCCTTGATGATGTGACGCTTGCCATGGTGGAGATGACGCCAAGACTCCCTTGTCATTCGACCTTGCTAAGAGCCTCCATGAACTCTATTCATTCTCATTTACATTTAAACCTGCCCACCTCCAGATAGGGTGTTCGCCTATAAACCCAAGCTTTTACCACTATTTGATCTTATAACCACTCACCTCCAAAATCACTTTTAGACCCCAAAGATTGTGCTAGATTACTTTCAAATTCACTTTGTATCTCAGTAATTTGATATACAATGTAAGTTGTTGTATTTTATTGTAACTTTTTTACTATATTTTTGTTCGCAATGGCTAGATATACAATATTTTTTAACACAAAGTAAACCTTTATTATTTTCCACACTAGCACCGTAGCATCCCACGAGTCAATTTTGCTAGCTCATACCTAAACTAAATAAAAGCATTTTGCTAGACTAACAAGTGTGATAGACTAAAACGTTAAATTGCATTCATAACTTATGCTACAAATATGCTTAAAAACGCACCTTAACAAATGACAGGTTGTTCGACATGAAATCTCACAGAAATTTCAATGATTTTCACTTCCCAATCTTTGCTAACAAATTTGCAGCATTATGGATTTCTATTGGTATATATATAACTAGAACAAAAGGCTTATATTCTGTCAAAATCCCTAACCATTACACCAAAACTCAAATAGTGAGAATTAAGGGTTATAGATTTATATTCTAACGTACTCCTATGTCGTTGAGCATCGTTCTGCTAAGACATTCAAATAAGTTTCCTCTTTCAAAACAAAAATAATCGTAATTAGATTAATCTTCTGACGTAAAACTTCACAGTAGTTGTGGAAGATTTTTTTTTCGAACTGTTTGCAATTCAGAGCTTTGCGATTCAGAATGATCATTTTAGATACTAAAAGACAGCCGTATTACATAATTCAAGACTCAAGACAGCTTCTGGACCATTAGCATTAATTACCTGTAAAAATGAAATACATTGCCCCTTCTAACTCACGAGTATTTTTAGACTGAAATTAGGACAAAAGCCAATTGTTTATCACATAGTTCTGACATTGATGTCATTTTACAAATAAACAACTTGACGGCCTTCAAACAATGATTAAGCAAACAGCGGAGATGTAAAGGGTGATTCAAACTAGTCTTCTTCCAGAAATCAGGCAAACTTGATGAAAATGGCTCCCCAAAGAGCATTTGCTGACATGTATCAGCAACTGATGACACTCTAGTTCCTTAATCAATGGCGGAAAAGATTGGCGTCTTCCTTTAATCAGCATCCATGTTTACACAAGGACAAACAAGCAATCTGTAGGAAGAAAGTGTAAATTTCAGAAACCTGGTTCAAAATGACGATCCTTCTAAAAATACCAGTTGACACGTCTATCAATTGTGTGTTATCGGATCATAATTTCAAATGCATCTCCTGGACTTCAGGAGGTTAGTCACTTATTTATCCTTCATCAATTTTTTTTCTTAGCACTTTGACCCCATGATTCTAAAACAGAAGTATCTCCTCATTATCTGCACCCATCACATGAGTATTACATGACATCAGTGCCCTTCTGAGAGAGCACATAATATTGTGCTGCAGAAAGAGCCCCTATTCTCTTGTAGCTGCTGAACATACACCCCTAGAATATGGGTACAAATTAAAAAGAGAGATAAAACCCATTTACACATCAGAGGTCTATGTATTAATAAAAAAACTTCAGCTATACTAAGTGTGTCTAAAACCCTATAGGATAAGGGGTGCTGCAATTAATCCTAAATAAAATACTCGAATACATGTTCATGAGGTTTTACCTGCTAATAACAAACTATTTTGAGCTTGGTCTAGCTCACAGTCTCAATTAACGTTACTACAGCAAAGACAAGAAAGAGAACCCCTCCTATGTACGCGATAACCTGCATAAACAGTATAAAAAGTTTAAAGGAAAAAAAAGGGGAAATAACCTTGAACTTAATAACGTAAATTTCAGAAAGTTATTAGGAGAAAGTATGTTACTCTCTTTTCTTATAGATGGCGTAGCTTTATGAGAAATCTAGCCACAGATTTGAAAAGGCAATCAAATTTATATGGATTCTTGAACTTAGTACATCAAAGTGACAAAAGAAAGCTCTGCTACTGGAAAGAATCAGATTTTCTTAACCTCAAAAATAAATCAGGTAACATGGTATGCCAGGACATTCAAAGAATATGAGGACTTAAGATTTGAAAATAATCACAGCATAGAAATGAGAACTGTATGCCACCTAAAATCTTTTTTAAGGTGGATAATAGTGAAGCGTATTGGAAATTTATGATAATGAAGCTATGGTAGGCAAGACATAATTGAAACAGGAATGATGGACATGCATCCACATCTGTAGAAAGAATACAGGTAATATTTTCACACACAGTTCTTAAGAAAAAAAAATCATTTGATGTCTGCATATCCTGTAGGTGTCTGATTCATGATTCATGTACCTTCATTTTCATATGAGAAAGAAAGACTTACTGGCATATCTGATATTTATAAACGAAAATTTTGAACTAATCAATCCCCAATACATAATTTAAAGTGGATACTGAAAGGAGTTTGCGCTATTTGTCCTTCATCGCCTATATTTGTTTCTTTCTTTCTTTTTCGAACCTTTTCTGAACAAAAGTATTTTTATTAACTTAAAAATGAAATCAAAGAAATAGTTACCTTCTCTGAAAAAAATGTTCCCATCAAAGAACCTCCAATAACTGCAAGCTACAAATATTTAAGGGCAATGTAAGTTTCTGCAGTCAGGATATTTCATGAAAAAACAGTAAAAGGGAAGAAAAGAAAGATTATATAGTTCTTCATGAAGGTAAGAATATATACAACTATACAAACATTAGTGGGATGACCCTAAGGGTATACCACAAGCTGTAAAATGTCTGCCATAAATATACACATAGAAGTGCACATGGGCTGATGCACATTGCACACACAGAAGACATCAGCAAGGTGATGAAAGTTCTGAAAATAGGTGAACATGACACTTCATAAGGACAAAAAACTGAAACAAGATTTATCTGAGACATTACAGGATTTGATAGTTCTACTTTGTAAATACAGTTGCAAAAGCGTGTTAATGGTAGTTATGTGCTGTAACTGGCAAGTGAGTACAAGAAACATAAAATAGTGTGTAGATCTGATTATGTCAAGTTCGAAATTCTACCAAAGTTGCAAGACCATGACCAGCCAATGCTCCACTAATGACGCCAAGCGGGGAAGAGGCAGCAGCAAGCGCTATAAAAGAGTGAGGTCGATATCACTTACTAAATTAAGTTAATCGCTCAATGAAGAAGCTAAATTATTTATAACAATCACCTATCGTAGAGAAAAAGGATTTATCACCCCATTCAGCAACAAAGACCAGCAGGAAAGTACTTATTACTGTACTGGCAGCAGACATGATTCCTGCACCATTTGCTGATAATTCTGAAACTGCCAGTTCTGCCTGAAATATCAAAGCATTTCATGATTCAGGTTATTACAGAGATAAATTAGGTCTTTTAAATACTCTAGATACAAACGTCACTAGCACATTTACAAGAAGAAAAGTGCAGACAGAAATAAATAATGAGAGACAAGAAACAAGGCATATAAGATATCCTTGATGCAATAGCTCCAAATATAAGTTTATCTTAAACCTGCAAAATTTCTTTTTCTCACAGCTCCTTTCTGACTTCTATGAGAATGCTTCTGTACTGCGTTCAAAACAGGAAACAAATTTGAAATCCTCTAGTACAGATATAGCATACCCTTTCACTGATTAGGGCACTTTCTCACATTCTTAGTCTTTTCAAATATGAAATATAATAGGTATACTAGAAATAATCTAGTTCCATCTCAGTAAATATGATCTTAAATGCTCCATTGAAATTTAACAGTAGGGATCCTATCAGAACCACTCCACCATATCGGAGTGGGGTGAATCACACCATTGAGGGGATAGTCACAATTACCAAACTAACCCTCAAACTGCCCGTGAATGGTATACGTCACCCCTTTCTATGAGGTATTCTAATAGAATCCTTACTCGAAATTTAATATAAATGTTATTTTACAAACTACGAAGTGTATAAGAGGCTTTTAACATTTTGGTTATTAGTTACTTGTTTGGGCCATATTCATCCCTACTATTTACTGTTACGAAATAGGAAGCTCCAATATGCGCATTTCTTTCCAAATGGGAAATTGACATTTCCTGATGAGTAGCAGAAAGCGCACCAGGCCGTCTATAGTGCTAACAAGGAAACTGACTTAATTTAAACTTAGTTGTGTTCCATTTGTTGAACGGATTGAACTGAACTTGGTCAAGTTGAGAAGCAATCCAGCATCAGATGGAAGGCTTAAGACCGAGTTCAGTCAAGGTCAGTGTGAGAATGACTGGCTAGACTCCACTGAGTTTGGTCGAGTTCTCTATTAAGCTAAACAACAAGCTATGTTACCTGGGTACTCCTATCATGATGTTGTACTCATACCTGACACATACTAGACACCGACATGTACCGAAAACTCCTTGGACACTACTATCATGTATCATACACGTAGCAGACGTTGACAACCCTTGACAATCCTTGAATAAACTCATATGTTTATTCAAACATGCACTCAATTATATAACATGTTTTACGTTAAAACACTAGTTATACACTTCTCAGACACTTATCCTACACTTCTTGTTCACTTCCTGAAACTTGTTGGATGGGAACACTAACCTATAATATTAAAGTTTTGGTATCTTGTTAAAAATGAGTGGTTTTCTAATTTATAATGTACATAATAAAAGAGATATAAAAATGTTTTGATTCACGTAAATATGAACGAAAAAATATTATTGATCTTTTATAGTTGTGTGCCCATACCCAACTTTTTACAAACTTGTCGCTTCTCGTACCCACACCGGTACATGTACATGTACCGTGTCCATGCAACTTACAAAAAGCAAGTGAAGTTTTTGACTCGCAACCAATGAACTCAACCCAGTTTGGTCATGTTCGGTCAATGTTTCCAAATTTTGCTTTATGTGTTACGTTGGATGTTGTTAGAGGCAATTTGGGAAACTTTGTGATGGTTAAATCCTTCAAGAAATTAAAAAAAAAATTGATAAAAGAAAACATCAAGAAAACAGGAGAGTACTCTGATGATTTGCACAAAAAGGGTGATTTGTACTTTTCTTTAAAATAGATTATCTCCATTCTCCCGTGGACACAACACATCTCTAAACCACGCAAAATTCTCGTGTTTGATATCTTTGCTATTCAGTTTGATTATTTATCTTTCTTCGTGTTCATCACAAAATGATCCACACTAAGCTCTAGAATCACAACAATTGGAATTGTTTTAAAAAGCCTCCGCCTAGGCATAGGCGCCTCGGTGATACCTAGGTCGCCCACCTAGTGCTTAGTGCCTAGGCTGCCACCTAGATTTTGGAAGCACCTGGAGGAGTATGGTCTACTAACATGAACTGTGTCATTTAGGCATTGATCGTGATTACCTTTGTTGCAACCTCCACGTCTTCCAATCTCATCCAACCTCTAACTATGAACACTTCCTCCAACCTTTAACAAAACCTTCTCCAGAACCACTTAAAAGCAGAAAAAATCTGCATGCACGCCTGTCGATACCTAAGTTTTCTATAACGTTGGCATTTACTATCAATTATTCTAATTAAAAAATAACAAATAGAAAAACCTTCTAGTTCCCGACTAGGCTCTAAGCATCAGATCCAATGCCTAGGCCGCCAAGCGCTTTAAACAATCTTGACAGTGACATCACAGCTAACGACTAGTCAAGTCCTAGATTCCTTCAGGCTTAAGGTTTGTTTGAGGAGAGGATAGAATTTCAATCAATTGCAACAAAGACAATAATAACAACAATGATGTACATGGTGGAGAAGTTAAATGGAAGGGCAACTTTTCTTTGTGGAAAAAAGGGTTAAAATGCTTTTTGAGGAAAGAGGTTTACTTAGGAGCTGTTTGTTTCACCAATTTTATAAAAAAGGATTGGTATTTGGTTTTGACAGTAGCAATTTCGTAATAAACGAATTCCAAATGAATCCTAATCTGGGGTTTGTTTCAGACTTTTTTTACAGATTTTGAAATCTGTAAAGTACCCTAAATAGGGTTTTTTCTGAGATTCCCACATCCTCTTCTCCCGATCGGATTTGGGTGAGATTTCTGACATCCCCATCGTCTTCACCTCTTTGGGGTTTTCTGATTCCTTCGTCTTCGAAAACCCTCTGGCCGTGTGTGGAATCGGTGTTCTTCTCCCGCCTCATATCACTCCTCTTCGCTCCTCTTCTCCCGTGGGCCTTCGATTTTGTCAAACTCGTGGCTAGTGGCAGTGACTCCCTGCTCAAACTAGCCGTTGTTCGACTGCAGTTCGTGCTTAGTGGATTCTGACGGTTTGTTTATGATCCCTTTCCTGAATTTCTGGTTTTGCGATGCGTTTTGTTGATGCTTCCTCAGAATTAGCCGTCGTCGACGCTCCCTTGGCTTATGTGGGTTTTGGGTCGATTTGTTGGTGATCCGCTTCTCGGATCAACGGGCTGGTTTTCGGTCCTGTTGTTGGCCTTGTGGTAATCGTTCGGTGGGTTTGTTGGCTTGATTTTAGTTGGCTTGTTTGCTTCTTGATCTCAGTAATTTCCCGCACTAAGTCGCGAAGGTTAAATCCCGCCCGGAACCCAACCAATTTTTTTTAAGATTCATTTCTTCGTGCTTGTTGTTTGGAGCTTGTGTAGCTCCCTATCTTTGTGAGGTTGTGGCTGTTCTTTGGAGCTTGGAGCTTGGAGCTTGGAGCCTGGAGCTTGTGTAGCTCCCTGTTTTTTGGTTTTGCCTTTGTGGGGTTTCGGCTGTTCTTTTAACATGAACTTGGGGTTTGTTGAACACAATTGTATTGGAGCTTGTGTAGCTCCCTGCCTTTTTGTTTTTTAGCTATATTGCAGGAATTTTATGCATTTGCAAGAGCTTTACTTGGGTTTGTTGAGTACAATTGTTAAGCACGAGTTTGTTTTTGCCTTGTTTTAGGGTAACTTACAGATGATATTTGGCAATGATGATGATTAGCATTTACTGAGAATGCAATCTAGCTTACGGTGTTTATTATATTCAGATGAGGCAAAAGTTGATGAGATTGCAACCTACATAGAATTGACATGTCTAGGCGAGACAATATGTCCTTAGAATGCAATCTGTAATAAACCTATTCCTGAGCCATACAATATCAACTACATTTCATACTTAATTCCAAGAATAGTTTTCATTAAAACATCAATAGTTTTTGCAATTACAAGTATATGACATATAGTTTATAATAATTAAAATAATACAGAAAATTGTTAATAAAATTGCTGATATTTTCCAAGCTAATAGTTGATTTTGAACAAGTCTCAGTTCTTTCTTCATCCTCTTCGATTGCAAAATATATTTATCTCCGTACCTATTTTTTTGACATATTGGCTTCCAATGTTGCTTATTTCTCTTCTTTCATCAGCCCAAGGTTTTAAATGTCGGACGACATGTTCGACATGTCGGACGACATATCGGTTTGAGGGCTTGACCGACACGACATGTCAGTTTTTAACTTATATGTCGGATTTTAGGGTAAAATCAAAAATATCAGGGTCATATCGGGCATATCGGCCTATTTTTTAGTTTTGAAAAATCGGCCGATATAGTACTTTTTTTTAAGTTCTGTTTTTTGTTATCCGGTTTGGGTCTAGTGATAAATACCCAAACACGTTTGACCTGTTCTCATGTTTAAGGGTTTCTTATGAACCCGATAGAAAGAATTTATGAACCCAAATCCGTTTCTTATGAACCCGATAGAAAGAATTTATGAACCCAAATCCATATATTATTTACCTTTTTATATGTTTAGTCTATAGAATTTATAAAATATTATTTACCTTTTTATATGTTTAGTCTATAGAATTTATAAAGTATGCTTATATTGAATTTATGAATGTTTAGATTATATTTAGGACATAATATTATACATATGTGCACTACCCGATATGACAATCTGATATTTAGTCAATGTCCCCCGATATATCCCCGATTTCCGCTATCCGATATGAATTTCAGCCATCCGACATGAACCCGACATCCGACATTTAAAACCTTGCATCAGCCCCATTCAAAAAAATTACATTCTTTATTTGGAAAATTTGTGCACCCCCAATAATCTTCCTTTATTTTTACCATTCTTGCACACTTTCATCGGTGTTCGGAGATTGCAGTCGCAATAAAAGAGGATTTGCGAAGATATGCAGATTAGAAAACTTCATAATTTTGGGAGCATTCTTCTGATATCATATTGATGTCTGGGAGGCAACTCGCAAACAATGATAATTTTTGGTAAGAATGGAGAACGTATTGGCAAAGTTAAGGCCTCATGTTAAATTTATAGCCTCAAAGTTCTTGGAATTAGTTGTTGCTACAGTGTTTCGTGTTTGAATATTGAGTCAAATGTTGGAAATAGCCGTTGCTACAATGTATTTGATTTGAATATTGAACTAGTCGTTACTATAGTGTTGATCCCAGAAAAAAGGCATTTCGGAACCAAACAAGATATTAGGAATTGGAGGGTTTCTATAAAAGTGGGATTCTATTTTTCCATGGGGTGAAACAAACATAGACTGCCAAAAAATGGGATTCCATAAAACTACAAACTTATCTATAAATTTTTTATGGAATAGGTAGGAATGCATAAAAAACCGGATTCCTAATCCTATTATTGTTTATTGGTGAAACAAACAGCCCCTTAAGGTATAGAAAGGGAAAGTGAAGAAACAAGAAGAGATAACTGTTGAAGAGTGGGAATACTTAGATTCAAAGGGTGTTTTCTCACTAGGTTCCCAAAGAGAGTTAAGCTTTGGAATTCAAAAGGCAAAACATTGTTTCACAATAAAGATGTGTTATTTGATGAGAACTCCATGTTGGAAGAAGTTGGACTAGAATGAGCAAAGAGAGATGACAAACAAGTAGACAGACATTTAGTACATGTGGAGCTATCTGACTCCCAACAGGATACAAATACATATATAGGACATGCACCTCAGCAACAAGATACAGATGTGGATAAGCGGTTAGGCCTAAATAGTGATAAGGTAAATCAACCCCAGCAGGAGTATTCTCACATACTTATACAATGGAACATTCAAAATTATTCTCTTCCACCCTCTAAGAATCCAGACTTCCCAAGTTTCTAACAATATAAAATAATTTTAGAAAACAATAGTTAGAGATACTATTAGTCTCTTCCAGCGTACTTCTCCAAATTTGTGATGAAACATATGAAAAATGAAAAAAAAAACAAAAAAAACTAATATAGACTTTCTGCATGTCATAATTGACATCCTTAACTAAGTACCCAAGTTTTCATGTGGATTATGTGGTGATAAAGCTCTAAGAAACAATGAAATATAACTATCATTTTGTTGAAACTGTGACACTACACGTAATTATTCTTCACCAATAGCATGTTATTTTACTTTGCATGATAATAATCATAAATAACTTGAAGATTGTGACTCAATCTAATCTTCTATACTAATATCATGAGTGAGATAGTATTCCTAGTATTAGGAGCTGAGGATTATTTTGTTTTAAGGAGTTGCCTTTTGAATTCTAATGAGAGATACTTGTAGAATGGCGTAAGTACCAAAATGATATGAGGTAGTATGCCAAACTTACAATTGTTAAATAATTACCATGCATATCACTTGATATACTACATTAACAATAATAATAGTAGTGACTATAAAACATTGGTATGGGATAACTAAGATAAGAATGTCAAAACCGACTCATGCGTGTCCATAGAAGTGGATACATATCCACTGGAGATAAGTTCTATGATTCTATCCAAATAGATGAGAACTTACTACTTTGGAGGTAAAAATCAAGTGAAGGCCACAAGCATAGATAGGAGTCTACGCATTAATGAGAGGTATGCCACAAAAGACCAAGTTAAAAAAATTTAAGCTGGACAAAGGATGTGCTCGCAGACCCTTGGAAGTGAGATTCCCATCCTTAAAACTATATCTTAGATATTCTTTCATAAGCTATTATTCTTATGAACAAGAAAGGTCCACGCTTGTTTTTTTATTTAACTAACTTTATCATGCCAACAAAATTTTGTTGCTTTCACAAGGCAATAAATTCTTAGTCTTGTTTACATCCAGTTCTGCAAGGTTCAAAGTAATGTTTTTTTTTTTTGAACAATACATGTTGGTCAAATCTCTACAATGCATCATTGTGCTATCACTTTGCATATACATCATATTACATACAACATTAGTACAACTCATATTGATTGGTAGCACTGAAAAGGAAGCATCAGAGTTAATTAATTTTATTGATTGATTGATCGGTATATATCCTCATTATGCCATGCTTGAGGACTCAAATTTTTATTACTATTGTTATTGATTTATCGTCGACAGAAACATAAAGTGACATCGACAACCGGTATTGAGGAGATTGCATTTCATGCAATGTCACCATGTCTCTATTAATTGAGTTTAAATGTTTTTGCGCCGAATACTTTTTATATACACCATATGTTGGTAATCTCACTGCGCTAGTGTAGCTTATTCTTTATTAATCCAACTTTTCAGATCAAATGGAAGCCTAGAGAGAACTACAGCAAAGAATAAGTGTAATTTGCCTTGTAAATAAAGTGTCAAAAAGAGGAATCAATCATGTAAAATATATGTGAAATAAAAATGTAGAGACAAAAAAGCAATTGATAATTATATTATGGATGTCTCACCTCTTTAAATAGAGGAAAGCAAACCAGGGTCACAAGGAGAATTGGAGTACAAGTAAACCAAGAAAACAAGATGAAGTAAATTGGTAAACAGGACATAATCTAGCTATTCTAGCACTCCCCTTAGGCTAGAGCATATATATTATATATGTCCAGCTTGTTACAAATGGGAATAAAACACCTAGTTACAACAGTTTTGATAATGTCATTTTTGCACGGAACACTTGAAGACTTCAGCAATTAGAAAAGTGTAGTTACAGCCAGAAGAAACTCTAGACAGGTTAGCTAGAAGATACCCTAAGTGGGTTAACAAAAGAAACCCTAGGCGGATCAATCAGTAGGAACCCTAGGCAGATAAGACAATAGCAATCCTAAACGGGTAAGCCAGGAGAAACAATATTAGAATCAACTAGAAGATGATGAAAGTGGCAATGTTATGATGAACAGTTCCATGTTACTGTTCATCAATAAAAGTACCATGGTGAACAATATTTTTAATAAAAATATTAGGGTTTTTCAAGGGAAGGGTTTTTGAATGAGGTTGCTAAGCAAAAGATGTTGAAGCTGAAGTTGTTGAAGTTGTTATTGAAGCTGTCGAGGGGAGCATGAAGGCCATGCAAAACCCCCAACGGCCTCCAGATCTAGAAAGATGGGAAAAGTTCTCTAGGATCCTATAGGCTCTGATACCATGTAGAGAGGCTAAACTAAGAGATTATTTAATTATGGATGTCTCACCTCTTTAAATGGCGGAAAGGAAGCTTGGGCTACAAGGAGATTTGGGGTACAAGTAAACTTTGGGTACAAGAAATTCGTAAACAAGAAATAAACTACTCAGCTATTCTAACAAAAATTATAAAAGAGTTGGTTGTTTATATTGTATAAATTTCAACTCATGCTCTGAATTGGGATTTGATATTAAAAAAAATCTGAATTTGGGGTGTGATGCAAACTGCTAATTTGCGAAGAAAAAGACACCAACCTCCTTTTGTTCTTCATCTATTTTTAGTCCATCACCTGAAGATGCTTCCATTAGTGTTGTAACTCCAAAATAAACCTGAAATTATTAGATATCACCAATTCTGCTGATGCTATCATGATTATTTATGAGAATTATGCAATTGCATGCCAAAATGTAGAAAATGTTACACGTATATGCATGCACTGTCATCTGAAACTCATACTTTTGTCTTGCAGTACTCATGATGATTAAATAACTGATGAAAATTACCAAAAGACAAACTGCCGCAATATCATCAATTGGTAAGTCAGACCCACCTAATCTGCGTTATGTGACATTAGAGGAAATTTGAATTAATAAGGTGAATAGAAACTCAATGAAGAGAACTGAGCAAAAAGCTGATACTGCTATGAAAGAAGGTAAATTAAACAATTAAAATGGAGTTCAACTACCTGAACGGAAGAATACCATCAACATAGTGAAAAGTACGACCAAGAACAACAGACACAATAGTCATTGCCCTGTTTTTGTAAAGAAAAAAAATATTATTATGTAGATACTTAACATGCTAAAAAAGAGGTAAAACCTAAAAACAGGTTGTAACTACATGGATCATCTATGAAATCCTATGGTGTACCACTTATTATGCATTTATTTCACAAAATTGTATTTCTTTACCGAGAAAACTACGAAATTTCAATTGGTAAATATGAATTGCACTTCAAGTCATATTCAGTCCATTGTTACTGAAACGTAACATACCAGCACATCAAATTATTCTCTTACTTAGCTTAACTACCGGACTGTTTACGAATTATGACTACTGTAAATTATAGAAAAACAAAGAAATTCATCGGAAAGGCTTTAATTGGCTTTATTTTTTTATTTTTTTGGTGATCTTTACATTTAAACTGTAGATTTTGGATTTAAGTACATCATCAACCAGGTTTACTGATATGGTTAACAGATTCAGATTGTCCACCAAAAAGCATAAGATAAGATTATATATAAAAATATGTAGTTGTCTAGCAAAATTTGATACCAGGAAGATGAATTCTTCTTTTTCCATCTCTATCAGTGGTCATGTCTTAAGTGATACTAACAGCCTTCTAATCTTTTCGCTGATTCAATGCAAGTTCAGTGGTTCAGAATATCAATGCCATATCATACCTGCATCCATCCTACTTCTCTTAGACCCAGTGAACCCATTAGCGGTGGTGTACATTGTAGTATCATTCATCCATTGTAGTATCATTCATCTTACTGCTTTTTCATTATGCTAAGAGCATGTTTGGCAACTAAGGATTATAATCTATAGTGTTTGGTAAACTTAGTGGACTATAATCCATTTCCAATAGCAGAGTGTTTGGCAAATGGATGGATTATAATCCATCATTGTTGTTACAATGATCACAATGTACATGGCTTATAATCCATAAAAAGCACATGACTTGGAATTATGTGAAATGATGAGGGGTATATATGTGACCTTTCACTTGGTCAAACATTGTGGCTTGTAAACCACCAAAAAATTAGCTATGGCTTTATTTTTTGGGTGGAATACAAGCCAAAATTCTCTTCAGTGTTTTACATCATCAACAAGATTAAAGTTTGGCTCATTGATATTTCTCTATTTATCAACCGGTTGGAAATTTGGATCTTAGTGCTAAGATGTTTTTTCAGTTACTGGGAATTCCAATCTGTTCAAAGGTCCAAACACAAAATTTTCATCTGGTTTCTTGGATTCGACCAGAGGCTTCTTACATCAAGCATAATTCAGATTGATGAGTCAAAAGATCTCAAAGAAGAGCTACAGCTGGTGGGATTAGTTGCGATCATTCAGGTAAGATGATTATTGCTTATGGTGATGTGATTAATGGTGGCGACAATCTTTTTGCAGAGGCACAGGCTATGCTTATTGGTGTTTTGATTTGCATTGAAAAAGGTTAACTTTTTATCCAACTTGAAATTGATTCTAAGATGGTTTTTGGGGCCTTGAATGATACTATTTTTTGCCCTTGGAGAATTATCCCTATTGTGTAAACCATTAAACATCTTAGGGAACACATTGTTATTTACAACAATTGTTACAGGAGCTAATAAATGTGTGGTGGCTCTTGCAAAATTATCTTATGAATCTGGAATTGATTTTAGAATGCATGCTACCAATGACCTACCTGCCGAAATAAAAGGATGTGCACTTATGGACGCTCAACAATAACCTTCTATTAGGAAAGGGGGGGAGTAGTTTTCATCTATCGATCTTTGTAAGGGGAGAGTATCCCTTGTTTCATTATTGCCATCTTTTTTTGTTAGGGAATACTCCCCATTGGATGCTTTTTGTAATCAATAAAATCCTCAGGTCCACCCGGGAGAAGTTCCGGCTAAAGAAAAGCCACTTGGCAAATATTCAAAGTGGCTTATAAGCTAAATATGCTTTGACTCTAATCTTCCCCAGATCACTCATCTCTGATGCATATTGAATGGATTGTTGCATGCGCATATACGCGCACACACACACACACACACACACATATGGGAATTACAAAAGATTTAAAGACTATTACATTTACTTCTTTAGAAAATTTATGACTAACTCTTGTTGTCAAATGACCGGCTTTATAGAAGATGTGAAGTTAATCTAATTTGTGATTGTTTAGAAGTTTGTCTCATATTACACCTAAATTCTATCTTTTTTTAATATTAGGCTCTCAAACCTTCATATTTGTAATTTACACCTCAAAATACATTAGATTGCTAACAATGAGGGTGTTATTTAACACATGTTTATGAATTTGGGGGGAGTAAATTACAAAATGGGACTGTTATTTCAAACAACCTAATGGATTTGTGGGAGTAAATTACAATCATGAAGATTTGGAGGCCTATTATAAAATAGGATAGAGCATAATTGCGTAATATGAGAAAAACTCTAGTTTAAAATGAGAAGGGGACATTAAGAGAAGCACTTATGCATTAATTGACTACTGAAACAGCTTACCAAGTATGCTTATGCATAATATGACTGACACATCAATAAGTGAGAGAAGCAAATATGCAATAATTGACTACTGAAAAGCTTCCCAAGCAACTAGGCATTCATATCAATTCGCTTTTAATAAAGCTAATAGTTTGGTTTTCTTTAAAACCCCATCTCCAGTTTTTGCTTCAGCTTGCCACTAGAATACTTCCTTGTGGCTTTATGTAACTGTGATGGTATATTGATGTACTGGCCTGTTGAAGGATATTAAGCCGAGTAACAGCATTATAGCATCTAGTGGAAATATGAAGGGGAAACACAGCAAACGTTATTACATATGTGTGTATTGGTTTGTGTGTGTATATGTGTAGTTTTCTGTTCTTTTTTCTTTTTCTTTTTCTTTTTTGGGTGGGGGGGTGGGGGGGCGGTGAAGGGCGGGTTGTACATGTGTGGGAAGGGGGTGTATGCGTGTGTGGGAAGAGGACATAACTCAGACAAAAGAATAGCTAGGCGTCATCCAAAAGTAAGTTTTGCAAAGAACTTCAGTATTATTATTGCAACACAATTTCTGCAGTTGTATCAGTGCAAACTCAGATAGCTAGTCATTCATTTTCTGCAATCACCAAAATTGTGTCTTTTCTATTCCCGTCAAGGAAATATGAAATAACACTTATGAGATATATTCATTTGGACAGCAAATATTATGTGCCATTTAACATTGATAGTGTGAGTACTACACTGTCAAGGAAATATAGCCCTTCCAGAGAAGCAAGAGTAAATGAATGACAATAACTAGAACCTAAAAACTACATGAAAGTAATATACTCGAGAAAACTAGTAAAAAGGCTTATACATGAAAGAAAATCAAGATGCCATGAATTTATGTACTTACGCAAGAGCACCAAATGTGCCAATGAAAACAATAGCACCAGAGTTTCTTGCAGCTAAAAGTGCCTGCTCAAAACATTAAAAACAGCAGACTTGTTGTCTTTTTATATAAACCAATTCTATAAGACTAAATTAGCATCTAGTTTCTAGTTGAACAAATTGAAAGACGAATGGCTATAAAAGTTGCTTTCTGAATGCCTTAAGAGGAATCATTTTTCAATAAATGTAGACTCATGTACGTTGAGAAATAAGGAAACACGTACAGTGACAAATTTCTAAATAAGCATCTAATCTTCATTCACATTATTTTTAATCTGTCTATGTTGTAGACCCATTCACTACAAGAGCATGTTTTCGTAACTTGATACTAGATTAAATTTTATAAAATATTATGATTTAACAGTTCCAGTAAGTAATACAATCTTACTGTGTCAGATAGAGAAAATCTTGTGTTTACTCTCCCTGCCTGATACAAAGCACATCAGTAAGAAAGTACACAAGCTATTGAGCTTGATTCATGGAGGGGGAATATATGTTGACTTATAGAACATATGTAGCTACATATTCTTGAAAAAAAATAAGAGGGGATTGCAGCTAAACAAGGAAAGCAGGTGAAGAGGGACCTCAATTCTTAGTTATTACCGATCAATTTTTGTTTTATATCCCTAGTCACAGTTGTAGCTTTCATTACATTTATGATGAAATACTTCCCCAATTAACCTTGTTGAGGGTCTGATCACTCAATGATTTCCTCCCCACATCTAAGTTTGACTAAAAAACCAAACTTGCATTAGAAGGATTTGACGCTGACAAAGAATTTGTTCACAGAAAATCCTACATGCATGTGCACATAAAAGGCCTGAACACAACAAATGAAGAAAGTAATATCCATGTTTTCAGATTTTTTATGCTGCAATCTTTAAGAGGAAGAACCATGATACAAACATGCCCATGACCTTAGAAGGATAATTATAGCAATGGTGCATATACAAGGGGAAAAAACAGAATCAACATCATGAGAATAATCTTTTGCTATTTGGGAGCATCATTGCATGACTATGGGCCTATAACATCATTCAGTCAAATAATTGCTTGAGAAGTCTCAGTCAAGTGCATATACAGTATTTACCATAAGCTTTAAAGTTTATACTAATAAACAATGCAATTAAGGACTCTAAATAAGAAAAAGACAGACAAACTCACTGCAATGAAAAATGTTTTGTCCCCTAGTTCAGAGAAAAATATTAACAAGAAAGCCTGCAAAATCAAGATAAATGGCAGTTGAGTAAATGAGGATTGATGAATTGAAAGATACATGCAACAGTCACTTTACAAGGGAAACAAATCACATTACAGAAGGCAAGTTATCAACTATAATTTTAGCAGGATTCAAATATCAGTCTTTTTCCAATTATACCATACAAGTTATCTTCAAGTTTTTCTGGGTTAAATCATGTTAATTTTCTCAAAGAAATAAAATAAACAAATGAAGAATGAAAAAAGAATTCGAGAATTTGGAGACCTTCTACTTAACTTGTTTATTAAATTAGTAAACTACAGCAACACAGATCGATAATAGAATTATAAAGAAACTGTTGGCTGTCTCTCAAAGTTGAACAAATGCAAGAAAGCTCGAATTTTCTACTTTCAGATTTGCAGTCCATGGAAATACGCAGTTATGGATTGGTTTGGCTAATTTAATTCCATAGCACAAATAATATATGCTTGTGCACTATCACAGTTATTATTCCTTGAGCGTTAAGCCAGGCTCACAATTATCATCTGTTGTGAGTTTGAAGCTTCAACAACTTTTATCTATAGTATGCAATTGTATCTACCAATTTTTTCTGTGGACATCCATCACCGACAAGTGTTCCCATATGTGTCATTTTCAGGCCTAATGTTGTCTTTTATTTTCCAGAAAACACCTTGAACAATAAGATGATTTTTATTGCAGTAATAAAATATTCAACTCTTTGTCCACTACCTAAATTTTGGTGGTTTCCTTCATGTGGACATACAAATCCAAACATATATATGTATATGTTAAACATACTTATGCTCATAAAATAAAAACATGTAGTCTTTTGCAATATTTCGATTTTGGAGAAGTTTATTGTGCATACTATCTCCATGCAATATGACTAATGTCTATGAGCACAAAATATCAATTGTGTGGAATCAAAGCAATAACTGCTTTCTAACTTAGAAAGGCACTTAAATGGCACATGAATGAGAAAAATTAATATCCAGAAGTTATGTTAACTAATTTCATCCAAGTGATGGATGCAAGATAGAATATTGAAACCAAATTTCATGAATTAAAGTAGGAATATTCCTCACTAGAGGATAAGAAAAAGATAATAATGTGTTGGTCAAAGTTACAGTAACATAGGAGTCAAAAGGAAGCTTTCCTAACTGAAGCAAAACCTGTATTAATGTCACCCAGATCTCCGAAATAAGAAAGGGACTGCATTCTACCAGATAATTCTGTATCTGCGACAGCCTCCTGAGAGCCTTGAAAAGTTAGCAACCCTATGAGAAGAGTCACTTTAATCCCATTATATAAATGAGAGAGCAGAGCTCCCTTATTCTTGAGGCAATCAGGAGTACAATTTCCTGTCAGGAAATTCAAAAGTTTTGAGGAGTCATCTATTAGATGGTAATTGGATGTAGCTGATCCCAACATTCTCCTCATGCCATTCTTAGCAAGGTACCAGGGGTCCTACAAGCAAATGAAAACTATTAGAGTATCAGAGAAAGTGCTAGACTATGACCTGGTGGATAGAGTGCCAGAATATTTCCAGTTACATGTTCAAACAGACATAAAAAGAGATCAATCATAATGCATAATGTTTTCAATAGCTTTCAGCACGAACTAGAAGCACTACCAATGAAAACAATGGATAATTCAAGTACATGCATAAATTAGTTAATTGCACAATATAGATAGTAAACTACTAATGCACTTAAAACAAAAACCCAAGTGACTTTAAGATGACATGATGAATGTGGCAATTACCATAGCATCTCAGGGTGCATTGACATGACTGTATTTGTGATAAAAGTTAAGGCATATATTACAACTAGAGAATCAAAAGGAACAGTTCTATGTAGTGATGTACTATTTTAATGAAAATGAAACACCTCACAGACACGTGACGGGCACCATCACCTTGTATTAGATAATGTATTAGATGGCATTTTTCATATTTCTTTATTTCCTTTGTTACCTGGTTAAAATCTATGGAGTTAAGTTACGAAGTTTTTTCTTTCAACTTTAGTTAGATGGTAGTATCACTATGGATGTGTTTATCTATACAAATACATACAGAAATGCAGCTATGTCATGTGCCTAGTCCCTGCATCCAACATTTTAAAAAACTTTGCATGATGTGTCCATGACCCTGCTATCGCAACTCAAGACTGTAACATAAAGGAGAGGAAGATTGATCTCAGCATGGTTATTTGACTCAAGTTTAAAATAACAGGATAGGGCTCACATTTTGTATGCAGAAAAGTAATCAAAATTGACAGTTGAATCATGCGTTAGTGAAATAGTTTAGATGAAAAAGATTACAAATGGGAAACAAATTATAAATATCTTGAAACATATCAAGTAGCTAAGTTATATGGTCAATTTTTATCTCCTACAAATTACCAAGCCATATTGGCCATGTCAAATGGAAACCAACCGCTGGACCAATTAGGAATCATAGGATAATAGTGAATTCATGACAAGAATTAGAGGAAGGCATAACAAACATGTGCAGAGGCAACTAAAGCGGATATCTTAGTTCTTAATTTAACAAGGATATGGCGCTTTACAACCAAAAAATGATTCATGTAGCCAACCCAAAAATTTGCAATAAAGGAGTCATTGCTTGTTTTTTATTATAGTTCATTACCGAGATGTGACACTGTTACCAAGAACTAGTACTACTACCCTAAAGCTTTATCCCAACGTGTCAACAGAATTAACACCTGGTTTTTTTAATAGGATTTGAGGTTTAATCCTCATGACAGAACTATGCTCCCTTTTCTTGTAACATCACTTGTGGCAACATGGGTCACCCACCACCAAATTGGTATTTTCTAGCTTCACAGAGTGTTTATGTTTGCCGGTTTATATGTGCATATGCTCTGTTTGCTGCACATTTACACTTTTGTGGAATTCAATCTGACACTTGCAACCATGTTTCACTAAAAAAACTTATCAATTATAATAAAAACACAATAATAACATGGATGACAATGGATAAATTGTTGGATATCTAAAACAATTGCAAGAGTAGAGTACATGTACAACCACCTCAAACAAGCTTCACATGATAATTGCATATCAACTCAATTCAGGGGCAGAGGTATATGGACTAGAGTGGTGTCAAGTGATACCACTCTCATGACTGCAAATTGACACCATGTAATACAGTAATAGTTAAATTTGCAAAAAAAAAACTACTTTGTCTTATGACTTAATTACAAAGTGGCGCTATTTAAAATAACAGAGTGACCTCCGAACGGTCAAAATTCTTATCGGATAGCGGAAATCGGGGATAAGTAGTATTTATCAGAGTGATATGTTGGATGGTGTATATATAATATAATAACCAAAAATGTAATCTAACCATACTTAATGAAATATAAACATCAGCGCAGGTGAGCTTTGAGGTCGGGGAGGCGAACGACGTCGGCGGAGGTGAGCATTGAGGTCGGGGAGGCGAGCGACGTTAGCAGACGTGAGCTTCAAGGTCGAGGAGGCGAGCGACGAGGTCAACGGAGTTAGAGGGGAACAAAGATCTTGAGCTCGATGGAGTTTGGAAAGGCTCGGAGGCTCGGAGAACAGCCGCACAAAGAGGAGAGATTCACAAAGGATTATGACTGAACTTGAAGTTATGAACTTCATTTTATTGTCAAAAGCGGGTCGGGTCAGGTTTAAGAACTCACTAAGTAACAGCCCATTACCCAACAATTCAACTAAAAACTCACGCCAATAAAGCCGATATTTTTAGCTTCTCTTATCGGCTGATAAGTGCCTTTATCGCATCGGCCGATAAGTGCCTTTATCGCCGATAACTCGCCGATAAACCCATAAAAACGATAACCTATTAAAAATCCTACTTATCCTAGCGGAAAGCTCCCAAATCCGATAACTCGGCGATAATATCGGATTAGCGGCCGATATTTAAAACCATGAGCACAAGACTCGATTCTAAGTGAGATAATCCAATTAATTTTAAAGTTCAGTTGGATACCGTATGCTGAAGAACTAGCTTCAGTTTTCTATTAAAAAAAGGCAAACAAAGTGGATGAACTACAACTTTGTAATCTATATATCGAATAGGGTGTATCTTGTGCTATTTTGAATGGGATTCGGATCCTCTCCAATATCCACTACCTATACTGACCTCAATCGTCAATTACTCCCTTTTTTTCAATATCACTAAAGATGAATGAGAGAGAAAATTTAATTATATCGTTTTTCTATATATCGTGACACCACTATTATATATTGTTGGCTCGGCCACTGACCCCACTGGCTTGAAGATGTACTTGGTTTTCATATTGAAATTTTGTGTTGAGAAAATTGACCTTACAATGTGCCCAGGTGTACTAAATATAATGTTTTGAACAATTGAAGCCATTTCCTTTTACTCAAAACGTATCTTTTTCTTAGTGATTAATCTGGTTAAAATGCTGGGCGGTAAGTAGAACTTTGATGTGTTATTTGCACTTTAATACCCCAAAGTTTCATCCCTTACTAATTTAGACACCTTGAAGTTCCATTTTAACAACTCCATACCCCAAACTCCAAAGAAGTTTGGCCTTTAATTTGTTCAAGAATATTAATGTACCAAAGTGAATGAGAAACAAACTGTCTTACAATTTTTTTTTGCCCCTGCATTGGGTAAGTGAGGAACAAAATAGGGCTTCGGGGCATCAATTAACTTCGATTTGGAAACCTTTGGGGGTATCAAATTGTCAAACTAGAACTTCAGAGTATTAAAGCTAAAAAAGGATGAAACTCTGGGGCATGAAAGGGAAAATAAGCCGAATTTTACACGAATGCAGCTTATTTCTTAGTTTTCTGGCTGAACGTACTGCAGACTAAGGCGCTATCGATTTAGAAATTAGAGGGCTTTACGGTTTTGATTTGAAAAAAGTTTCACCTTCACGACATCAAACACGTCCTCTCGATCCACGGCCGGAGAAGTCTCATCCACCCCCACCTCCGCTGGTGCTGACGATGACGACGGTGGGAAAACCTTGGTCGGTTTGTGAGGCAACGAGAGCAGAGATTTGGGAGCAGAAGAGAAGAAGAAGTGTTTCGCGGTGGAGACTGAGGGACTCTTGGAAGAGGAGAGTGAGAGTGGTTGGAAGAAGAGAGTAGAAGACATGGCCACCAGTCTCTCTCTCTCTCTCTCACCTCTCTCTTCTTCTTCTTCTTCTTCTAAATTTGGCAGAAGAATGAATGGAGGGCTGAGAGGCCTGAGAGAGGCACGGGACACGCGAAGGAATTCGCGTTATCCGGTTAGGCTCAATCACTGGCTCAAAGCCTCAAACGTAAATCGGGAGGGGAAAAACAAAAGCGAAAAAAATAAGTTAGCTCTCTAAGCTATCAATTCACCAACTTTTCCTTTTAGGGCCTGTTTGGGTATTTCCAAAAAAAAATCGGAAATGGAAAACTCATCCTTGAAATGATTTTAATACATTTCAAACACATTTCTTAGATTTCTTTTTTTTGGTTTGTTTCGCAAAGAAAACTCTACATTTCAATGCCAAGTCACACAAACAGACAAAAAAAGCCTCCATAGTAACAGTGTCCAGTTTTCTATTTCTTTTGTTTGTTTGAGAACAAGAAATAGGAAATGAGAAATGGGGGGATTAAATATTATGTTTTATTATTCTGCACTATTCCAACAGTGCTTTTACTAATTAATAATTCTTAGATGGGACATTTCCAAGTGTTTTCAGCCCAATTTGGTGTGAAAACACATTTCTTGAAAGTTTGAGGTGGCATCCTACGTGGCGGTTCATTTCTCGAAAATTAAAAACAAAACAAACATGAGAAATGGAAATCTCTTGAAAACAAAATCCCATGTGACACTTGTTCATTTCTTGAAAGTTGAGGTGGCAAGAGATTTCCGGATTTTTTTTGGCAAACGAACAGACCCTTAAACCATGTCCATATGTTCAATATGAATATTTTGTGAGCCTATAACCAAATATTTAACATATTAATAACTTGACAAAAAAAGTTTATATTTATTGTATTTATTGGCAATCTAAAAAATAATTTTTGTTATTCATAAAAAGGTTAATGGGTGAATTTTTTTTGGGAGAAATAGATTTAAAATATTTTTTTAGTTAGGAGAAAAAAGAGATAAAATGATAAAACCCATGAAGAAATATAAAAAAATATTTTATATCATTAATCTATTAAATATTTGACTGTAGATTTCACGAAATGAGCACATTGAAACTATAAACACAATTTGAAGGACAAAATAGATAAATTGATATTGTAGGGGAAGCAACCTGAGAGTTCACTAATACTTTAAGGGGGAAATGTGTCTAGAAAAAGAATTTTGTATATGGGTCCGTCAAATCTGACCTATTTTTACATAAGTTCCCCAAATATTTAGGCTTATTTTCAGTTTGGTCCCCCAAAGTTTATCTTTTTTTACTTTGACACCCTAAAGTTCTTTCTTTTAACACTTTGGCATACCAACATCTCAAGTCTAACTTCACTTTCATACTTCCACGGTTCCACCCAGAGTCTGTTTAATGAATATTACGTTTAGGACCAATTTACCTACTTGTTAGAGATTTTAACGATCAAACTTTTTTAGCTTGTTAGAGATTTTAACAATCAAACTTTTTTAGCAGCAATGGAAGGGCGTAGCACATGCTCAGCATGTGATATAAATTTAACAGAAAATCTAGATAGGGTATCAAAGTGAAATGAGATTGAACTTTGGAGCATCATAGTTAAAATGGGTAAATCGCCAAAGTGAAATAATCTTACTTTTTAAGTAATATATACCCTAAATCTACAAGTTCAATAAGTTCCCCTCAACTTAATTGTTAACTCCAAATCAACAAAACTTCTTAAATCCTGCATGTTTCACCTTCATATTTCATAGATACTAGTATGTCATACGTGCGTTGCACGTGATGCATATTAAGAAACTACATGAGTTTAATATTTGAAGGCCAAGTAAATATTAACAATTAATCTAAAATTTCTAAGGCAATAACAGACAAAAGCCTCTACCAACCTCATTCATTAGACACAAGAAAACAGCGCAACAGAGGAGAAAACGATGTAACACAAGCAACAAGTTCATCTCATGTAAAAAGACACAGGACCAGCTCCACACTTCATATACACTATCACCAGTTCAAGCTGCTCAAAATCAAAATAGAACCATTTGTTGCATATGTCAAAGTTCCATAAGTTACGAATTTTGGACGTGGCAAATTATTTCTTTCCTCTCAGTTTCACTCCCAAGACCCTCTCCAGTTTGGTAATTATCTGCAGATTTGGAATTGCCTTTCCTGACGCGTACTCTTGAATCACTTTGAGACTTCTCATTAATGAGCTGCAACATCAAGGATGTATGTTAGTCTACAATCTTGAGCGAGTCATTAATGGAAACCAAAGAAAGTTACAATAAAATACATGTGTAATTTTTGTCTGGCTGGATTTTTATCCATTCGAGCTTGCATTATGCTTCTTTAGTTCAGTTGGGACCCTCTCATCTTAGCAAATAATGACAAGTTAAACAAGATGACTGAGTATCCTATATCGATAGCGGTATCGATACCCGTATCGATAGCGGTATCGATACCCATATCGATAGCGGTATCGATACGCGTATCGATAGTGGTATCGATACCAAGTTTACTGTTACGGATTAAAGGGTAAAATTGATTAACTTGGAGATCAAGTCTAATCCAAGGGCTGATATTTGTTGTAATACTCTATAAATAGGGGTAGAGAGTGAGGGGTTTGGGTGTGAAATATTTTATAAAAACTCATTTTAAAGAGGAGAGTTACTCTTAATTGATAAGACCTTTCAAATTATAACTTTTTTTGTTGCAATTAATAAAGAAATATGTTTACCTCTTCATATTTTTCTTATCTTCTCTTTGTTTGATTATAAAGATGAAGGTGAGATGAAGATCAAGATGAATGTTTGTTATCACCTTGAGGCTAGAACCGTCTTTGGATGTAAATTTTCTCTTTGTTAATAAATTTATCTTTTGCTTTCTTTTCTTGTTTAAATAGCCAAGAGGCTAGAACCCTCTTGCCCTTTGTTAATAAATTTATCTTTTGCTTTCTTTTCTTGTTTAAATAGCCAAGAGGCTAGAACCCTCTTGCCTTAGATTTATTTTCATGCCTTTTGCTTTCTTTTCTTGTTTAAATAGCCAAGAGGCTAGAACCCTCTTGCCTTAGATTTATTTTCATGCATAATAGAGTAGATTTACTTTCATGCATTTACTTTCTTGCTTTAAATTATTATATTTTTTTCTTGCAATTTATTTTGTAGTTTAGATTTTATTTTCTTACACTATTCACCTTGAGGTTAGAACCCTCTCGGGATTAGTTTTTGTTTTTGTTTATTTTCTCTTTTTTTGATTTGCCTTGAGGCTAGAACCCTCTAGGGAATTGCCTTTTTTAATGTGGAATTAATACTTGTGGGAACTCTAAAAATTACATGAAACTAGCTAGTGGATTCAATTCTAGATTCCTCATATCTCTAATTGAATCCTTCATATTTTAACTTTTTTAAATTTCCTCTTTATTCTTAATTTTTCTCTTATTTATTTCTTGATTTTATTTCTTTCATCCTTCTTTCTCCCCTTTCGTTAGTTTTGTTTATATTCACTCTTTATCATATCCACTCTTTATCTCTCCACTCTCAATCTTGTTCTATTTTTTTTGACATACAATCACTCTTACTCTCTCTATCTCTCCACAATCACATTCATCACTCCTAATTGTCACACACACAATATAAGAACCGATTTTGATTTTCTCCTACAAACACATTGCTCGTGCGATCGATAATTTTTTATACTATAACTTGATTGGTTGTGCACTTGTAACTCTAGAGGTATACTTTTATGCCCGTCAAGTTTTTAGCGTCATTGTCAGGGAAAGTGCTTATAAGTAGGATTTTATTTATTTTGATTCTTTAATTTGTGTGTTTTCTTGTGAATGAACCACTTGGAGATTGAAGATCAATGATTAGAGGTCGATGAATATGAATAAGTATATGAGCTATATGAGCTATATATGGATTTTTCTCCTCCTTTGACAACATCAAAAAGGGAAAAATAAAAGATAGGAGCAATGCTCCCCCTGCTTATAAGCACAGATAATAAAAAAAGTATGCCAAAAGCTCCCCCTGTCAAATAGAATAAATGACACTAAAGAGTATGTAAAGGAGCTAAGCAAACTAAACAATCATAAACAGTACATAAAGCAAAGAACTCAATATTATCAACCTATTTTCCACACACCAAAACATGAATATTGTTTCAACTATGCATTGATCATAGAAGAAATAAACTAAACACAATAAGTCACAAATCATCTCATAAGCATTAGAAACTACATAGTTTTGCATAAAACATAGATTGTTCCACAAGATAGCAAATCATACATAAAAGGTCACATGGTTCCACACTAATATAGAGTTATTACACTCAAACTAAAAACATAGATATCAAGTTTTCTAATTCAAAATGAAACAACACCATAAGCATAGAGATCACTTAAAAGAACTCCAATAATCAGCAAGATCAATCATCACCATTACCATCATCATCACCATCACTATCACCATCACCATCAGAAGATCCTGATCCTTTAGCAGGGCCCTCCTCAGAATCAGACTCAGAGCTAGAAGAGGGATCCGGAATCCCGAGAGACTGGCGCTGATAGGAAAGAATGGTCCTAACATCCCTCTGGATAGTTGAGACCTGCTTCTGAACACTTGAGAACTGAGTCTCAAGATGATCCAGACGGTCACAAATATCAGAAGAGGAAGAGGTAGAAGCTCTAGATCGAGAGGATGATGGCACAACAGGATCAGATAGGGAGCTCGAAAGCTGCATACGAGAGAGAGAGACCCTATCAAAAAAATCTTTCTTAGATTCAATCTTGGGTTCATTGGTGAGGTCAACATCGAAGTGTTGAAAGATGAGGGTGAGAAAGGAGCCAAATGGTAGAAATTTAGTATGCTTTGATGCCATATTATTGAAAAAAATAGTTGCCCAATCTACTTTTATTTTGGTAAATATGGCATATACAGTATTTATCTTGTCAGAGGCAAAGTGATCGAAACTACCGGTTTTAGGAATCAAGTTTTGAGCAACGATTCTAGCAATGAGTTTAGCATTTGGATTGAGAGAATTGTTGTTCATAGGATAAGAGAAACCGGGTTTAAACATGAGTTGGTTTACAGCTGGATCACTAAGTTCAACAGACATGAGATCAACGTCACCTATTGGGATTTTAAGAATCCCCGCAAGTTCGTTGGCAGAAAAGGATAT